TTGGTTTGGGGAAACTTCGCATCAAGATGTAAAGTTTCAGGGATGACTGGTTAGCTCAGTTGGTTAGAGCGTGGTGCTGATAACACTAAGGTTGCTGATTCGATTTCCACATGGGCCACTGTGAGCCGCATCCTCCTTAAAAGAGCCAACTATGCCATTGTAGCATGAAAGCAATGTGTAATCAATGACCATGGCTGTCCCCAATAAAATAAAATTTCAAAAAGACATAAAGTTTCAGCCCCTTTGGAAGGGTTGGAACATGTGGCAAGGAAGGGTCCACACTCCCAATTGGCCTTGGACTAGAGAGCAGCTGGCTGGCCCCTGGAGGGAAAACTTGCTCTCCAGGTGACGATGGTCTCCTTGTCCCTATGAACTTATACTTGGCCTGCTTCACACAGGTATATGCTGCCTGACTCCCACAGGCAAAGGCTCGTGACCCTGCTGTTCCGGTATTACTTTGGCCCCGCTACCAGTCAGTTCATGAGGATAGACCTCCTTTCATTACCTTCTCGCCCCAGTGACACATTCTGCACACTGAGGTTACACTTGGGTGTATCCGAGGCCACCATCCACAAATACAAGCCAAACATCTCTTACGGTGAGTCACTGTGACAGATATTATTTATTGATTCTTGCTAGTTTCATTTTCAAAAGGGGCTCCTGTTTCTAAATTTATGACTCTTTATAGGCTGACAACTCCCTTGTTTTTCTAAAAGATTTTAGTGGCTCTGGGTTCACAGAGAATTTTGCTTATAGGTCTTGATGGTGAACTTCAAACCATTTTATTTCATAGATGAGCCATGGTAAGGATCAACACATGTTAATAGTGCACTGTATTGAGTAATTACTGTGTGCCAAGTACTAGACTAAGTAATCCTACACAGTCCTTGCACAGCCTTCAGAGTTAGCACCTCCATTTTCCATTTTCCATTTGAAGAAACTGAGGCACAGAAAGCTGGGAAGCAAAGGAGCCAGAATTTAAACCTAGGCAGCCGTACTCTGAGCCTACCCTCTCACCCACCTTTCACAGCTGCTCTAATGCACAGACCCCTCACGAGGGTCAGGAGTTTCACAAACAGTGCCTGAAGTCTCAAAACAACTGGGGGCCTTGCATGAAAGCCGCCTGAGGAGCTCTGAAAGCATCCCCAAGCATGAAGCAAAGACCCTAGTGGGTTAACACTTGGGGAATCTACTAAAGGGTAAATGGAAAACCTCTGCACTGTTCTCACAGTGTTTCTGTACATCTGAAATTATGTCAAAAGAAAAAAAAAAGAAAAAAAAGAATGTATTAGAATATTAGTTGATCTGGAGAGACTTCTACAGGAATTGTTGATAACAAGAAGTGTTAAGAGGAAGTGTTAATAGGGAGATCCAGAAATGGGTGTGTGTGATGTGACCCCATTTTTTGTAAAACAAATACAGTAATATCTTGGTTTGTGAGCATAATTCGTTCCGGAAACAAACTACTCCTATTGCAAGACATCGCTTGTTTACCAAGTTAAAATGTATTAGAAATGTTTGCTCATCTTGTGGAACACTCGCAAAACAAGTTACTCACAATCCAAGGTTTTACTGTAGTGGAAAATTTCTCACTCTCTCTCTCTCTCTCTCTCTCTCTGTGTGTGTGTGTGTGTGTGTGTGTGTGTGTGTGTGTGTCTCCATATCCTTATATGAGGATGGAATAAAATATGCATGATACATTACAAAGCTCTGGAGCCCAGTCCCCAGATATTTTACTTTAATTGTTTAGGGGTAGTACCTGGGCACAGATATCTTCTTTTAAAATTCCTTAGAGCAGCGTTCTTAAATTTGCTGCATATTGGTATCATCTGGAAAGCTTTAAAAAGTCCGATACCCAGGCCACAGCCCAGACCAACTAAGTTGGGCTCTCTGGGAGTGGAGCCCAGGCATGGGTGTTGTATAATTCCCCAAGGGGGTGCCAATTGCTGCCAAGCATGAGGACCAGGCAGGGCCCTAGATGCATCCAGGGTTGAGAATTACTTCTAGGAAGGAAACTCATGTGTGTAGCACTACTACGTGATAGGCATTTGATGTCCATATCGATTTTGGGACCATTCCATGAGTTAGGAACCCCGGTGGAAATAGAGGTTGGCTCCAGAGGTCGAATAGCCTTCTGGAACTCAGAGCAAGGAGGTGGTGGTGGATATCCTGATCCACCATCCACTGGGTGGAGGAGGGTGAGGAGAACTGCTTTGGGAAGGTGTCATTGCCGCCCATCTCTCCTTCCTGGGGTCACAGGAGTTGAAATTCCTCTGGTGGACATTCGTTCCTTTGGTTTCCTCCTTCTAGGAGCTATTAAAAACAAAACAAAACAAAACAGCAAAAACTCTTGAGAGGAATGACATGTTAATCAGATCTTGATGTCTTCCCAGTGAGTGCTGGCTGTTCTAAATAAAGCGAGAAGAAGGAGAAATGCTCAACATGGGAAAAAAAATGAAATGTGAAAGGGGTGTAAATCTGATCTTGTCATTTTCCTGCTCAAAATCCTCCATTCACCAGCCCCACTCCAGGCCTTTGCTGCCTCGAGGAACTTTCCCAGGTTCCCTCTCAAGGTGGTTTTTGGATGCTTTAGTTTCTCAGGACCCCAGGCCAGTAGAGGCCCAAGGGAAAAGGAGACGAGAGAGAGAGAGAGAGAGAGAGAGAGAGAGAGAGAGGTGTGCCCTGCAAACACTGCTAAGCGTGGGTATTCAGGCCATTTAAATTCAGGCGTGTGGCAGGGAAGCTGAGCAGTGTCCTTTGGGCTAATGCAGGAGCCCCTCATGCCAGGAGGACTGGAGGCTGGGCCTCGGGAGGCCTCGGGGAAGTGAGTCAGGAAACTTGTGTTGAAGTCCTGTCCGCCTCTTTCCAATAGTAAAAGGAGGACCAGTATGAAAACCTCCTTCTCAAGAGTGTGGTGAGCGTTAAATATAACACCTGTAAAACGCCTACGTTGAACACAGTTGGCCCTTGGCAATGTCACTGGCACAGCGCACCAATATTACAGGCTTGCGACATGCACTCTGAGACCAGGGTTGCAATGAGCTTTGGCCTGGTCTCTAGTTTTTCAAAATTTTATTTCATTGTGGTTAAGAACACAATATGAGAGCTACCCTTTTTAACACATTTTAAAGTGTACACTACAGTATGGTTCATTATAAGTGCATGTTGTACAGCAGATTTCTAGAACTTGTCTTACCGAACTGAGACTTTATGCCCATTAATTAGCAACGCCCCCAACGCCAGCCCCTAGTAACCACCACTCTACTCTGATCCTACGCGTTTGACTACTTAGATGCCTTATGTAAATGGGATCATGCAATATTTGTCCTGTGACTGGCTTATTTCACTTAGTATAATGTCCTCAAAGTTCATCCACGCTGTCTGAATTGCAGGATTTCCTTCCCTTTTAAGGCTAATAATAGCCCATTGTATGTATAGACCATATTTGCTTTATCATGCATCTGTCATGAACATTTAGGCTGTTCCCACATCTTGGCTGTTGTGAATAATGCTGCAATCGATCTCCTTCTGTTGATAAGATTTGAGTGCTTATATGTTATATGCCAGTAACTGCATTGTGTCTGACCTATGTTAGCGCAGGTAAAACTCAGAACAGCCCTATGAAGCAGATGCTATCTTTATCTATCCCCATTGACAGATGAGGAAACTGAGGCCCAGTTAGTTGCGGCCCAAGGCCATGCGGCTAGGTTGTAAATGGAGTTTGAACCCAGGCAATCTGGCCCTAAAAGCAGTGATCTTGATCACTACAATACCTAGAGCATTAAAATCGTAATAATGACAATGATTGAGAGAAAACTATGTGTCAGGCGCTGTTCTTGGCAAGGTGAAGATGAGACCTATGCATCCAAATGAACTTGGGTGGCCCAAGAGATCAGTTCATTTCAGAAGTGACACTCCTCATTATGATTTTGGGGAGAAGGGTGGAGAAGAGGGATTGTGGCTAAGAGTTGCGCAGGGTGGGCCAGTGGAAAATGATCTTCTGAGCTGTGATATGCAGCTGCACGGGTTTCTTTGAATCATGGAGGTTTTCAAAGTTAGACCTTTTCCTACATCACTGAGTCTGAGACAAATCTATAGCATTCTGCATATGGTTTCTTTTCTCTCCCCTTCCCCCAATATTTTCCTTTGTATTTTGTGCTTCAAATGGTCAGCTCAAGGGTCAAGGGAACAGCCCAGAGTTAGGTGCCTGTTATAAGGTCCTTTAAAAGCTCCTCCTTGTCTATTTGATGTTAATCTAAATCAGGGATCCTGGCTGTGCAGTTTAGGCAGTGGAGCTGCGAAAATAAACCACCAGCCAAGTCAGCTTGGGCACATTGGCTCTTTCCAGGTCAAACCTCCCAACAGGGCTTTCGGCGGTTATACCAACACTAGTGCCCTCCGTGGGCCTGAAAGACAACCGTCCATGCCGCGAGCAGTCAGCAATAATGCTTTAATGCCGTTTATTTTGCAATGGCAAATCAATCCACTGTCCCAGCATCCTGTAACTTTATTGAACTCGGCATCCCGCTGCAGGACACGCCCCGAACTCTCCTGAAATGACATATTTGGCTGTTTGCAGTCATGACTTGGCGTTGCAGTGCTGATATCACAGCCTGGGCCTCTTCTGAGAAGGCTGCAGTAGCACTAGCTGCAGCAGTTTTCCCTCCCTAGTGAGAGCTCACTATATGCTGGGCACTGCGCTAAGCCGGCCGCCGTCAGTCCCCGGGGAGGCGGCGGGCACCCCTTCGCTCGGAGCGCTTGCAGCCATTGTGGGGTGGGCGCTCGCCTAGCCGTGTGCTGACACGCCTTCTCCGAGCTGCGACAGGCGGCCAGGGGAGGGGAAGGTGCCCTGTACGTGCTCGCAGGGGGAGGCTCCCGCCGGGCGAGGATCCTCGCTGCACCGCCCGCCGGCTCCTCTCCGCGCCCCGCGCCCCACGCGCCTCCCGGGCACGCGCACCCAGCCCCGCCCGCGCGCGGCGGACGAACGGCCCCGAGCGCGCGCCCGACTCGCGCTCCCGCGGCGGACGAACGGCCACGAGCGCGCGTGCGCCCCTCCGAACGTCCCCGGGAGCCCCGCCAGAGCGAGCGCCCCAGCCCGGCGCGCAGGAGTGAAAAGGAGGCGGCGGCCGCGGCTGCGAGCAACAGATCCGGGGGCTGCGGGCAGACTCGCACTGCTGTTGGGCGATTTTTTTTCCCCCCCAAGATATTTATTAATTTAGAAAAACTTGCATTTTTAAATGGCGCTGGCCCCGGAGCAGCGGGCGGTTTCCTCTGCTTCAAGATGGGCTTTACCGTTTCCGTCGTGGGCACCACTGGTGGCCTGATTGTCAGTCTTCTCCGGGCATTTTTAAGGCCAGGAGCCGAGCACTGCCTGTAGGCGAATCACCCTACACAGCGGTTTGGCTTTTAAGATTATTATTATTTGGGGGCAGAGAACAGTCGATCTCGGGCAGGTAGTCCTCTTTGCAGGAGAGGCTGCGAGTCGGAGGCGGGTCGCTCGCAGGGTGAAATTCCTCCTGGGGTGAGCGAGCCCCGGTCCCGCGCACAGTCCAGGCGGCCCCAAGTGTGTGTCCTGTCCCTGCCGGCGCCGGGAAAATGGAGGCTGTGATTGAGAAGGAATGCAGCGCGCTGGGAGGCCTCTTCCAGACCATCATCAGCGACATGAAGGTAGGTCGCCGGGGGTGCGGCTGCGGCTGCGGCGCCGGCAGCTGCTCACTGACCTGGCCGCGGTGCTTCTCCTTCGCCCCGGGCCAGCCGTCCGGCCCTTGTCTGCGCGGTGGCCGCCAGCCACCTGCGGGAGCGCTCCGGCCTGGGTGTCACCTGCTCACCCGGGGCGCCTTTTTGGGCTCTGCTGGGTTACCGGGCGGGCGGCTTCCCTAGGGATGCCTGATGCCCCCCGCCCTCTCCCGGTTCATTGTCCCAGGGGGCGGCCCTATCTCGTTTCTCTGGGGTCTCAGGGCCCCGGCTCCAAGTTTTCCATTGTCTGTCGTTAGACGGAGTGTCTGTGACCCCGTGGAGGTGGGATGCCTGGGGGAAACACCTGATTCCCCCGGGTACGGGGAGGGGGCGCCTGGCGTGGTGGTAGGGAGGGATTGGGGCTCTGCCCGGCCGCGGGAAGGAGCTTGGGGCCTGAGAGACTTGAGAGGGAAGCCTCCCTCATCCTCCTTGGCTTTCAGGTCCACCTTGGGGGGCGGGAGGGGAGGGTGATCTGAGCAAATTAGGGATTAATTAGGCTCTTCCAAAGCTGGTGTGCATGCCTTCTTCCCTCGGCCCCTCCGGGGGCGCGGAGCAGAAGTTCCCAGAGCAGCCTTGCAGGGGGCCCTCTTTCCCCCCAGCTGAGGCTCCCAGCATGCACGCAAGATCGGGGGCTCCCAAACAACTGTCTTCTCCCCCGCCCCCCAGCACTCAGACTCCAGGTTTTCTCTTGGGAGGATTGTGAAAATTGTGTGCGCGCGTGCGCGCACCCGCGTGTGTTGGGGGCAGGGAACAACACCCTGGCTTTTTCCTGGGAAGGGTGGGACTGGGGATAACCTGATCCTTGGATGTGGATTTTCTGGTGCATAGAGACAGACCAGGGCCCTGTGTTACTCATCCAAAGGAAATACAACCAGCCGCTGGAGCTGGCTGGAGGCGGGGATTGGGGGCGGTGGGGGGATTTTTTTTTTTAATGTGTATTTAGGGAGCTTCTCTTTGGCTTTAGCCCAGCCCCAGTTTGCCTCAACAGATCCGGGGAGGTGGTGTTTAATTAAAAGCTCGGCTTCCAAAACGAGTGGGCAGGTTGGGAAGCTGTGTATCGAGTGGGTGTGGACAGCCCCTCTTCAGCTGGGGCCTGGGCACCCGGAGGAGCTTTTGTCTGATGAAGTGTGTGGTTTGAAGAGGGTCTGGCCTCGGAGATGGACTTTGGGAAGGAGTGTTCAGCTGTCATGCTCAGCTTCCCTGTTTTAGAACCAACTGCCACCTCGCCCAGGGTGAACTTTTTCAAGGTCTTGTCCATTTTGAAATCCTTCTACAGAGCCTGTGCCTTTTGTCAGAAATTGACATTCATGTAGCATTCACTTCAGAGATAACCCTGTTTGCTCAGGAATGCCTCTAATCCAGCCACTTGGAATTAGCTGGATTATTCCCTGTTTAAAGACAGCCCCCTTTGCATTCCTTAGCCCCAAATCCACACTGAACTCTTTTAAGACAGATTGATTGGTGCCCCCTCCTTGGACTCTGGGGTATTTCTGGTTAACTTAAATTCTACACATCTTATAATCAAACACAATTTGGTTTGAGGCACACGTGTACTCTGATCGCTAGGGGAAGAATATGAGATGGGTTGGTAAAGATGCTTATGTTTTTTTTGGAGGAGAGAAATGGATGTTTTTTCCAGTCCCTCAGTAGTAACAAGGACCCAGTGATCTAATAGGTCTGCCCACTGCAGTCCCACAGTGTTCACATCTGGAGTTTTTTTCACTTTCTTTGTTCCTTAATCCAGAATCCAGGCTCGGTTCTTCTCATTTATCGGTTTGAGCCCAAAGCCCTTCAGAAGGTATCCCCCCATAGGGTGGGCCGCCTGCTTTCCACCTGCCCCCCCCCCATGGCTGCCCTGCAGCACTCTGGCCCTGGGGATTTGTGGGTGCTAAGTTGGTGTGCTTTTCCCTCCGTAAGATTCCAGGTGAAATTAAAGGCTTCTTTAATGCCCCATTCAGTGCTGGATCTATAGTTTGTGGTTCCTGAGTTCTTTCCCTTTGAACGTAGTAGGATTTGTTCAACAGCCTGTGGGAAGGCATTTATTTTAAAGGCTTTTGTTTGTTTTGTTTTGGAAGTCAAAGATTTTAAAAGCAAGGTGGAGTGGAAGACTAAAACATGACTTGGAGCTGCAGAATTTCAAACTTTTGGGGAGAAGTGAGATAAGGAAAAAGAAAGGGGATGGTTTATGCATAAGAGAGTTGCTGAATATCTTCATGGAGTTTTCTTCTTAAAAACTTTGTGGATTAGATGACAGTGACAGTTGAAAAGGGATTTTTAAATTTGGGCATATAGAATAAGCAGTGGATAGTACACATATGTATGAAGTTGCCAGCAATAAAAGTCAGCTTTTAATATCTGAAATCAGCTGACTTTCTAATGACCTGCTTATCCTCCTTTTCTCAGAACTCCCCTGATGGGTTTATAATGCCTTTGGCCCCCTTTCTGTTTGCTTTGAAGGACAAGTGTAAATGTTGGAAACCCATTTGGAATGCCACCTTGAAAACATTTTAGGTTATTTTCTCAGAAACGATGTTGGACTGGAGTGAGGAAAGGGTAAGGAAAAGGGCTTTTTTAGTAGCATTCGATTCTCCAAAATGAACAGCAGCACAGGAAGGGAGTCTATTTCCTCTGTGGAGGGGAAAAAAAAATTCAGTAATTTCAAGATCTGGCACCATCCATCTTCCGAAATCAAAGAACCTCAAGATATCGAAAAGCTAAGGAGGCTTCTTTCTGCCCTCTTCTAAGGATCCTTCATCTGGTTAAGTCCTTGGCTGTCAGGGTGTGTGTTTTATCCTTTTCAGGGGGAAGGGTGCAGGAGAAATGCTCACTTTTCTCCCATTGGGATGCAGGTGTTAAATAACTTATTGATTCCTAGAGGAGAGGAAACCTTGTGTTTTTTTTCCCCCTTTCTTTCACCCTACTGTGGTGGTGGTCACTAATGAGTGGTGGTGTGCAAAATCGCTTACTGGCTGCCTTTCCGCCCACTCACATAAATCAAGTCGTCTGGTGTGAGCTGGTCCCCAAGGAAGGGGGAGACAAGAGATTCATGTGGCTGGAGGCTGGAGACATCACCTGGTTGTCTGCGGGGAATAGTAGCTTGGAAGTGACTGTATGTGGAAAGCCCGTTGACTGACTTCTGATGTTGAGACAGGTCCTGGAAGCTTTTTGGAGTTTCTATCCAAGTTCTGGGAAACACAGGCTAAATGCTGCAAACAGCAAGATTACATTTCTTAAAAAAAGAAAAAAAAATTGAAATGTGGTTGACATAGAGCATATTAGTTTCAGGTATACAACATAGTGATTTGATGTTTGTATATTTTTTTTATTGATTATTTACTGGTTTGTTAGTTTAAGTAATTGAGGCAGTGTAGAATTCGATGATGTTTGGGGAGCTTTCAAGACCAGGACACTCTGGCCAAACTTGGGGACAGCTCACCCTGTGGATGGATGTCTTTCTTCTTTTAATAATTAACTTAGTTTTTTTTTTTTTTTTTTAAAGTTGGATGCTAAAATCAAATATTTTCCTCAGCCTTGTTGCTCAAGAATCAGCATGTCCGGAGCTGAATTGGGCCTGATGTAGGGAGAACTTTGTACTAGGTCGGAGAGTGTGTTTGGGGGTTACATAATGTGACTAGGGGTGAAAAAAACACCCAACCACACCTTGAATTCCCCACCCCAGGTCTCACTTTAGACAGGGGTGTCCTGTTACCAGCACCTGCGCTGAGCAGAATAGGGGCCTTGTTCAGTTCCCCTCCACTGCCCTCCACCTCTGTTTGCCACCAGTATCCTCTCTCCTCAGCTCTGCCTAAAATTAGAACTGCTGAAGGGACTTCTTGAATTCCATGGAAATCTTTTGTGGTTCGAAGGCACGTCATGATATTTTCCCTCACTTATCATGAGATCAAGAATGTGGGTAGTGGGTCCAGCACTGGATAATGATGGCAGGGTTTTTTTGGTGCTTTTTTTTTTTTCTCTCCCTACTACTGTTTTGGCTTAAGGGTTCCTGCTTAGGCTTAGGGGTTCCTGTCAGAAGAGAGGTTTCCTTTCTCCGTGTTTATCGAGGGCCTGCTATGTGGAAGGCCTCCAGGAACCGAAGAACCACAGGGTTAGGGGGAGGTTAGGTTGCTTGTCCTGGGGGCCAGGTGTAGCCAACATGAAATACAATATGGTGGCTGTGAAGGAAAGGCTTGGAGTCCAGCCTGGGATAGGGCGTTAGTCACTCCATGCAGGACTTCCTAGGACTCTTCAAAAAAAAATGTTTTCTTGTAGAAGATACTGGAAACCCAGCCAAGGCCTCCACCAGAGGCCAGGTGCTCTGAGGTGGGTGGGCCACCTGTAAATGGCGACACAAAGGCAGGACAAGCCAAGCCCTTATAAAGTACAGATGGGCCCCATGCTGGCTCTTTCTTTAGCAAATGGCTGTGCTATTTGCCCAGGGTTTTACAGCTTCCTCAGTTTGGGCCTGTGGGAGAAGTTGAAGTAAAGATGTCGTAAAATTGGCAGCAGGGAACTGCCTGGAATGGGTGCCTGTTCAGAGATTTAGGGCCTACTCTAGGTAGAGCAATCTTTTTGGCTTTTTAGGTGCAAATCTTGCTGCTGTCCAGGTTTGGAAAGAAATCGTTGTTTTTTGTTTTTGTTTTTATTTTGTGGCTTTGGCTTGAGTGTCTCTATGGGGAAAATCCCAAATACATCATATTTAACCAAATATTGGTTCGTCGGGAAAGTCATGACGTATTTTTCTATGTTTTTTGTTGCAAAAATGCACCATGACTTTCCCGACAACCCAGTAGTTTAGAACTTGTTGCTTGATGCCATGAACCTTTTATGTTCTGAAATTCCATAACTAGTAGTGTCCCCCAAGTGCAGAGAGAAGATCATTCCTAGATCCTTGTTTGCACGGAAGGGAACCTGAGTGAATTTTGCCTGGTTTC